AACTCCAAAGCACATCTATCTGAAATTACTGTTTTAACACAAATCGTTCATAATAAACTAAATGAAACTTGTTTTTGGTCATGAAAAGTCTATTAGGATCCCAAGACTGGTTCATAACCATGCAGGCTTGCCTAGACCATTTCCAGATACCATAGAAGCTAGCTTTGTTGCGAACTCTAAGCCACATCTATCTGAAGTTCTTGAATTAACACACATTTTTAATAACAGATTCGAGACTGATTTGTGGTCGCAAGGCATACCAGTAAACATTATTCTTTTTATACTAATAGGCACATCTAGAGAAAATACTTTTAAACTTCGAATGAAATATATCAACAGTTCTCGTTCTGTGGTCTGTAAACCACCGGTGGTTCGTGAGTTCTCTGCAGGTCGTCCATGGAATCAACAGTTCTCGTTCTGTGGTCTGTAAACCACCGGTGGTTTGTGAGTTCTCTTCATGTCGTCCATGGAAAGGTTGCATAATTAAGAAAAAGAAAGCAAAAGCATAATATATACATCCCACTGTGGTCCAATTAGATTAAAATGTGCATGGCCCACGAACATAAGTTTGATAATCACTGAAAAATATCATTTAACTACATTTCAGATTTAGTTGTAGTTATAATGAGTTGGGATTGGTGTCAGGGTTGCTGTTAAAAGATCTGGAATAGATGGTTCTACCAAACCATTGGAATGTGTGGTGATATGGTAACGTGTCTACTTCTACTGCTCTCAACATCCTTTACCTCTCTAATGGGATAGATGGTTCTACCAAACCATCGGAATGTGTGGTGATATGGTAACGTGTCTACTTCTACTGCTCTCAACATCCTTTACCTCTCTAATGGGATAGATGGTTCTACCAAACCATGTCACCCACAGTCTGGTTACTTAAAGTGCCCATAGGAAAAGTTGGCTGTACTATTTTCTTAATGAAAATAGCTCCTAGACACAGCTGTTCATTTTATGGAAACAGATAAAGGTAAATAGTATGCGCTATTCATTATTGATTAGTTTGCCAATTAGGTTAAAATTTATCCATTAGTTGGTATATTAGTGCAAATTGTCACTGATGTGTAGACTTCAGAAAAATTAACACAGTTAAAAAAAAAGTGTTAATTTTATCATTTAGATGATCTCGAAGATGTGCAAGGTGTTGAGTGTAGTAGAAGTGTGCAGATCAAGACCATCATGGATTGAGGATGGCAATATGAATGCACATAACCTGTGGCACTGGTACGACTAAATGCACTATAAACCACTAAACAGTGGTTCCTAGAGCTACATACAAGAGATACGACGGACTTTGAATAAGTAAGGGTTTGGGAACACCAGAGAGTTGTTGCATCTGTGTTAACATTAAAAAACAGTCTTCCTTCTGTGCGTTTGGAGACAAATGAGATATCTAGCTTGAATGCTACTGCTGTAAAGAAAGCCGATTTGTTTATTGTTTTTCTTTTGTTAAAAGTTAAGCACAAAGCTACACAATGGGCTATCTGTGCTCTGCCCACCACTGGTATCAAAACCCGGTTTATAGCGTCGTAAGTCCGCAGAAATACTGCTGTGCCACTGGGGGGCAAAGAAAGACAAAATTCTTCACTAGTGAAGTATTTATCCATTGTGTGGTCTTTTTTTCCATATTTTTAATGGCTTTTAAGTCGGCACGGTGTCCAGAATTTGGGCATTCTGTAAATTGATAGTCTTTCATCATTTATTGAAATTATTCTTCTACATTACTATTGTCTTTGGTTAATTCTGTCATACTTCTACAATGTTGACCATTTCTTTTAGGTTTTGACGGTATGAAATATTTCAATCTTCACAAATGGTTATTTTCTTGCTCTAAAATAATTGGTTGTAATATTTGACTGATACCACAACTGCACTGTCAATAGCTACGTTCAGGAGTTGTTACTGTACGACTGGCATAGATTATTAGACATTTTACTTCGTCCTGAACAAGCAGCAATACTGTTCCTGTTCCACTATCACACAAGAATCGACGTCCATCGTAAATGGCCAGTCTCATCCGAGATAGGACTGAAGCCTACACTGCACTTCTAACTCAACTAAAGCACACCTAAGCCTACACTGCACTTCTAATTACTGATATTATTTGATATAAATTAAAGGTTCGTAAATACATACACTGTCAAATAAAAATATTGTTTTAAACGCAAATGATTGAATGGAATAAAATCACCATCTATTTTACATCAGTTTATCATTAAAATATATACCAGCTAAATTCTTACAGCCAATCATTAGACCCCTATAAATATAAAAAATCCCACTGACCTTTAATTTATTATTATGACACTTTTAATTATTGAAACATTAGTAATATACATGTTTTATACTGTTGGTGCATTAATAACGATCTCTAAATTCTGTTTTCAAGTATATTATTACTGGTAACTTAGAAATTGTATAAGATATCGAATTATTAAAAATAAATAAAAATCTTGGTAAATGATCTAAATATTGTAAAGAAAATTGACTAAATAGGATCAGGGGGAAAAAAACTTCAGAAAGAAACAAAATTCATTAAGAGATTATTCATGTAGATCTTTTCTTTGGTGAAATACTTCGAGTAATGTTAAAAGTGTTAAGAATTACTTAAAATAATTATTGATCACATTTATTTTTAGCAATGTCAAAATAAAATTAAATAATTTCAAAAGAAATCAATTTTAAAACCGTTAAAATAATACACTTGAAGATAGCTTTTATATGCGGGAACATCTGTTAGCTGAGTTATTCTTGCACAGATCTTAAAATATAACGTTGATAAACGGAAACATCGGCACATGTAGATACGTACAGTTCGGACAACTCAACTTTCAAGATCTACATATTTACATGTACCGATTTTGTTCTTGGAAATGATTATTTACCTATAATGTAGTTTTCAGATAAATTATCTTGGAAATGATTATTTACCTATAATGTAGTTTTCAGATAAATTATCTTGGAAATGATTATTTACCTATAATGTAGTTTTCAGATAAATTATCTTGGAAATGATTATTTACCTATAATGTAGTTTTCAGATAAATTATCTTGGAAATGATTATTTACCTATAATGTAGTTTTCACATTAATTATCTTGGAAATGATTATTTACCTATAACGTAGTTTTCACATTAATTATCTTGGAAATGATTATTTACCTATAACGTAGTTTTCACATTAATTATCTTGGAAATGATTATTTACCTATAACGTAGTTTTCACATTAATTATCTTGGAAATGATTATTTCCCTAGAACGTAGTTTTCACATTAATTATCTTGGAAATGATTATTTACCTATAATGTAGTTTTCAGATAAATTATCTTGGAAATGATTATTTACCTATAACGTAGTTTTCACATTAATTATCTTGGAAATGATTATTTCCCTAGAACGTAGTTTTCACATTAATTATCTTGGAAATGATTATTTACCTATAATGTAGTTTTCAGATAAATTATCTTGGAAATGATTA